ACAGCGACGCTCAACGAGGGGCAGGTAATATGGTGCACCCAAGTGGATACCGTTCCATACTGCCTGTCTGTACTGAAACTGTTCTCCACTGTTCTCCACTACCAAACAACCCATGCTGTTGCTAACCACTTCATAGTGTGCCTGTCTTTTACACGGATTAAATTGAGTTCGAAATTTTTCCAGTGCACGCAATTCACTCACCTTATAATGTTGCAACACAGTCCAATAGTAAGCGAGAGCGAAATGAGCTCAGATAGTCTTTGGCGGTGTCGACAACGAGTCTTCGGCGGTGTCGACAACAAAGATCAGTACAACGGCAATGTATTACGTGCATGATCTATGGCATACTTCTGTGACTACTATTTAAACCTTGCAAAGCCATGCGCACCTTTTTGCAGTATTCCAACCGAGCCCAGTCTGTGGGGCAGCCTGTGCCTAGCACCTTAGCGGGATGACTTCTCCGAAACGTGTCGAATGTCGGTGGTGGTGCTCTATTATTTGGAGATTTATTGAGAGCATAGTTGCCGTGGTTTTCGTTTTTGACGAAAGCTTTAGTAGCTAAGCCGTACTGGACTGTAAAGCGTTGAGGATTGCAACCAGGCAGCATTAGTTTACTTCTGCACTGCTGTTCATCACAAATGTTGATTCGTATATGTTTCGCGAAGCTCTGAAAACCTGACTCCAGGCCCTGACCCGCTTTCAGAGCAAAAGGCATGCACTCGATGGGATCTGCTCCATAAGGTCAAATTTCGCTGGCATTCCTTTCTTGGAATCCATGGTTGGCCGGCTTTCAGTTCTTCTCGACCTATCACGAGATCGAGCCGACCTGTCGCACGATCGAGCCGACCCGTCGCGGGATCGAGCCGACCTATCGCGGGATCGAGCCCTATCGCGGGATCGAGCCGACCTGTCGCGGGATCGAGACGACCCGTCGCGGGATCGAGCCGACCTGTCACGGGATCAAGCCGACTTGTTGCGGGATCGAGCCGACCTATCGCGGGATCGAGCCGACCTGTCAGGGGATCGAGCCGATTCTAATGAGATGGGCAGTGGCGCAATGTCACATTTATTCTATGTTTTCGAATGTCACTTTGCCAGAAGAGATAATATGCAATCAAATAACTGTACACCTGCGAAAGTTCGTTGATCTCGTTCCCTTTGCTGCGCTCGTAAACATTGTGCTGACGTCAAAGATCTGGTGTCTGCCGCGCCAAAAAAGCTTAGCACAAATATATTTCCGACCAATGTTGCCCATTTCAACGTTCTGTGACTTCTATCTTCTTTCATGAGCGATACATTGAGACAAGACGCATGAAACATTTCATTCAGCCGCATTACATTACCACTCATAAGGTACGTATCATGGTGACAACCAGTACTGATTCAATAAGATAGTCAGCTGAGAGGCCGGGGCAGGCTGTCGCGGATCACCGTCAGCACTTAATGTCCCATCTAAGGTGTGATGTAGTTTGGGTAACCTAATGTAGTTTGCATAACAAGATAGTGCGACACTCACAAAAACGATGTCGCGCTCCTTATTTCACTCGGGACGGCTCAGTCATACGATTATACTATACGGAGCATGCGTGGAATTTTCATAAACAAATCCAAGATGCCCTTTAAAGAGGTTTGTGTGTATAGTGTGGATGCGATTACGAGGAACTAAATGTGGTTGGGAAGAAAGGACTGAATGACACAATTCTTGTTTCTGGTAGCAAATAATTACAATTGTGAAAAAGACGTTGTATCATTAAGCAGCGTTAAAACGCAGGGTTACACTGGACTATCAAAGGAAATTTTCGAAGCCTGATCTTCCCCAACAATTGCCGTGATGACTTATCAGATTCTGGACAAGCAGACATTTCAGTATTTTGGGAACTTCGTTTTTATGAAACCAATTTCTCGAACTAAAAATCCGTAGATTTTTGGCGTAAATGGTAATTCTTGCGTAAAACCATATAAACCGAGGAAAACCCGTGAAAATAGTTCAGTACAGTAAAAGCCAAGTCCAGTTACATTGAAGTCCAGTATAATCTGTGAGAGCTAAGGCAGACGAACATTTCCATGAATCGTTAGGAAATCCACACGTCGTTACGAAATCAAAACCGCGCGTACACGTAACGTGGAAGAGCGACAATAAGCTAAACATGTTTCAGGCGAAGCCGTCAATTTCAAAGCCTGAACGCCCGAGAAGCAATAGGTGTCATTTTTGCAAGTATGTGTTTTAAGGGGTTTGCGCGCAAAAAACGTGGTTTACAAATTTAAGTGCAAATTGTGTGAAAACATAGTAGGGACGTAGTCTGTGCTCGGGAGTCCATGCGCCCTATTCAACGAAGCTATGATAAACACCTGCGAGACGCCAAAAACAAAGCAGAAAATACCCCATTCGTCGACCATTTTTTACAAAGCACGCTCAGTCTCAAATCCGGGGAGGTATGGACCCTTTACCCCTTTCAGAGCTTAAAGTCATCTACAGAGCACAGGACCGTTCAGACAGGGAAATAAGCAAATTTATTCTGATGAGAGAAGTTGGCGACCAGACCTTTACGTACAGGGCTCATCTTGACCGATTATGCGAATGTGATTAGTGCCTTGATGTCTGATGCATGTTAGCTTAAAATTGCTTTCATGTATGACTGATGTCTGAAGCGCGATGCGCGATGCCTGTTTAATTGAAATATTTTGCGTATACACGCATATTTCGCGTATCTTAACTCTCAGTTAGATGTGCATTGTATTATAGAAATGGCTTGAAATTGCTCCTATTTTAATACCCTGAACGGTGGTGACCTGTAACAACTGTGGCTCGCTGTTTAAAAACCAAACTTGAGACACCGGGTAGGGGTCAGCAGTCAATTTTGAATTTACTACTGATATTCCTCTTGATAAAGTCATGTAGCCAGATATGGTGCTCTGTCCCTCATTCTCCTGTTAATTCTGCGAGGAACAAGGCTATGCATAATGCATCTATCTACAAACTGACCTTAGGATTGTTGCTCATTGAAAGGCAAACTACTTTGAGTGGGAAACCTAAACAGCACGAAACAGCTGCAAAAACATACGAGAGCGTAGCACTGAGGTGTGAGCGGAATAGTGACAGTTCAAACACTCAGACGGCAGCCTTAGTTAGGGCATGTCAAGACCAGAACATAAGGCAAGACTGCCTGGTAAAGCAGCTTTTTTTGCAAAAAAACATCGAACAATATCTCACTTGAGATAATTTGCGTGGCGATCACACGCATGTCATAGTGCATTAATGTTCATATATGTTGCATCTAAGACACTTTCAAAGTGCAATATCGGCGGTGTCATAGCGCTCAGTGTCTACCTTAGGCAAAGCAGAATAGTCTGCAATAAATGTTGTTAAAAAAGCTTAGCAATTACACATTGATTGTGCTCTAAAATTGCCTTCATTTGGATAACACTATTGCATACCGCTTGTGCATCACCACACCGTAATGCAACAGCCTGCCCACATCAAAATCATACAATAGATACCTGTTTCCATGATAAGTCATATAGAGGAACCCTGTTCGCAATAGTGGTAAAATAGTAAATGCATTGTTCCCCATGCGGTAGTGTTCAGCCGCAGCGAATATTACGCATGATTCCTTAGATGTCATTTTGGTCACATAAACTGCCTTGGTATCCGGACTGACGTCTGGCACATGTGCTTCAGGTCCTACAAATCCACGCGACCTATTCATTTACTACATTATATATATATATATATATATATATATATATATATATTATTGTCGCGATCTGCACCGAATACCGCACCCTACGCTAGGCACACACATACTATAAGTCCTACAGGCCCATGCCGGCCTAAATGTATCGACCATGAACAATAGCTGTGCGAACAACAGCAATACCACCCCGAACTATAAAAACAAATGTCTAACAAAGGTAGACCTAGAACAATAGTCGTCAAACCGCTATCTTTATCTACTTAATAATCTAATAACTGGTGCATACATATTTCCAAAGTTTTCAACATTGTTTTACTAGTGTGACGTTCATTGAACATCTCCCAAACAATGACCCGACCCTGCTGACACGTATGACAAAAAATGTCGCTGGACAGACAATATAATTCTGGTACATGTGAATATGCTGACAACTGACGAATAATCAAAATATCTCAGGTCAGATATCATAATTCTGTAAGATTTCTTACCAATTAACGTCTAAGTATATACGGTGTGGTGATACGACCAAACTTTATATCAGATTACGTTCCAATATGGCAAGGGATTTGTGAGCATGACCAATCGGCGTGTTAAGAAACGTTTCCTTCATTACGTCAGGCCTAGACAGCGTCCAACTCAATGTCTTATCTACTCGCAGGCACTCAGCTTCTAACTTCCGAAGGCGTTTCTCTTTGGATGACTTGAATGCTTAAGTCGAGTGGGATGAGCTCGTCACGGCTTAAAGCTCAAACTTGGAGACGGCTTAATGAAGCTGAAGACTAATGAATTTAAGTGGTTTGAACTCGCCGCCGCCTGCCGCCGCCGCCGCAAGCCGACTTCAGTCCACAAGAGAAACCTAACACACACGGAAATATGGAACTGAATGGCTGCTTTGGTCAAACACGCCAGACATTTTGGGAACATATTCTGATAACTAGCCCTGAGGATGCAAGCCGACGATAAGTTTTTGAAATGGTTCGGTGACCTGTTTCGAGTTTCAACTTCAAGTCGTCCCCGACATCCACCAGAACCACTCGTCTGCGAACGTGGGTGAGGGTACGACGAACCACCTAGTAACCACCAGCACACCCCGACACCGATCCTCTCGAGATCGACGCCAATCCTTCATTCTGCGGCGGCCGAGTTCGACAGACTGGTCCGGAAACAGCGGCCGCGCCATTCCTTCAGCCTCGCGCCAAGACGGCAAGCGGCCAGGACGACGCAGCGTCAGCAACGACCAAATTACAAACTGAACTGCACAGTTAAGTGCGCGCCGGTCGCCAGGCGCGGCCGCGGCCGACTGACTTGTGGCCCAGCTCGTGGGCGATGGTGTACGAGACGGCGAGGCCCGTGTCCTGGTTGATGTTGCAGGCTGCGGGTGGGCTGGCACATGCCCTGACACCATCGGCCAGGCCCAGCGTGCTGCACGTCTCGTTCTCGCCGCAGATGTTCCGTCTGGAGGTGGGCGGGCAGCCGGTCGGTCGAGAACGCGTACAGTGCACGGACGATGACATGTTACACAAGATGAGTCGGGAAGGTTTCGTTTCTTAAGTCGAATGCTGGATGTCCGATACAAAGGTACAGATTATTTCCAATGCAGATGCCATATCTTGCTAAGTTTGGAGCCTTTTTGCCAGCGAAGCGCAGACGCAGGGCGTCTGGCTTGAACAATAAACGCACTCTCAACGTAAAAGGGCAGCTCTGGCCCGGTCACCACGCTCCATAGGACGTAGTGCGGTGTGAACCATTACACACATCTGCGGACTGTTTCCAACAGCATGAAGCGCGACTATTCCAGGCGTGGTCGCCCTCCAGTTTTTTGAGATCTCAGCAAACTTAACTAAACGCAGTTGCAATCGCTTAACCCGTTCGACTGCCTCGAAAACAAAGAATGTACCGATTGCGAAGCCCTGAAAAATCACTTTACGAAACTGCAAGGTCAACACATTTTGAATAGAGAACGAAATCGTACTGGTAAAAGAGTGGGCGAACCTGTGTAGGCGGTCACATACTTTCGAGTGTAAACCGTGGATCGGCCGGTTTTGAGTGCTTTTTTTTTAGAAAGCCTAACGGTTCTAATCCTAAAATATTGGCTATCGTGGCAGCCAGATCAATAGCGACACGACACCAAAGGTAATGCTACGATGAATGTGCGTGTACAAATCTCTAGGCGATTGCAGCCCTTTGCGGTTCGTGGCGAAGTGTCGTCCACCGGGAGCGATTCGATGCAACTTTTACACGAATCGGTGTGGCCTTTAAAGAGAGCAAGAGCACGAGCAAGAGCAAGAGCAAGAGCAGAGCAAGAGCAAGAGCAAGAGCAAGAGCAAGAGCAAGAGCAAGAGCAGAGCAAGAGCAAGAGAAGAGCAAGGCAAGAGCAAGAGCAAGAGCAAGAGCAAGAGCAAGAGCAAGAGCAGAGCAAGAGCAAGAGCAAGAGCAAGAGCAAGAGCAAGAGCAAGAGCAAGAGCAAGAGCAAGAGCAAGAGCAAGAGCAAGAGCAAGAGCAAGAGCAAGAGCAAGAGCAAGAGCAAGAGCAAGAGCAAGAGCAAGAGCAAGAGCAAGAGCAAGAGCAAGAGCAAGAGCAAGAGCAAGAGCAAGAGCAAGAGCAAGAGCAAGAGCGAGCAAGAGCAAGGCAAGAGCAAGAGCAAGAGCAAGAGCAAGAGCAAGAGCAAGAGCAAGAGCAAGAGCAAGAGCAAGAGCAAGAGCAAGAGCAAGAGCAAGAGCAAGAGCAAGAGCAAGAGCAAGAGCAGAGCAAGAGCAAGAGCAAGAGCAAGAGCAAGAGCAAGAGGAGCAGAGCAAGAGCAAGAGCAAGAGCAAGAGAGAGAGAGAGAGAGAGAGAGAGAGAGAGAGCAAGAGAAGAGAGAGAGCAGAGAGAGAGAGAGAGTATAGAGAGAGAGAGAGAGAGAGAAGAGAGAGAGAGGAGAGCAGAGAGAGAGAGAGAGAGAGAGAGAGAGAGAGAGAGAGAGAGAGAGAGAGAGAGAGAGAGAGAGAGAGAGAGAGAGAGAGAGAGAGAGAGAGAGAGAGAGAGAGAGAGAGAGAGAGAGAGAGAGAGAGAGAGATAGAGAGAGAGAGCCAGAGAGAGATGAGAGAGAGAGAGAGAGAGAGAGAGAGAGAGAGAGAGAGAGAGAGAGAGAGAGAGAGAGAGAGAGAGAGAGAGAGAGAGAGAGAGAGAGAGAGAGAGAGAGGAGAGAGAGAGAGGAAGAGAGAGAGAGAGAGAGAGAGAGAGGAGAGAGAGAGAGAGAGAGAGAGAGAGAGAGAGAGAGAGAGAGAGAGAGCGAGAGAGAGAGAGAGAGAGACCGTGCCACCGAAAAAGTAGGCCAGAAGAAATTCAAGCGACGTCGATGGTTTAGAAATGCTAGACAAACGAGGCAAAAGTTAGAAAAAAATGTTCAGGCAAATCATTTACTGTTTTTGCACGCATATGTTGTGCATCAGTGCACCTAATACAGCTCAGCTCTGGAAAGGGGATCTTCAGAGCATCGAGAATGCCCTTTTGGGGAAAAGCGTATTGCTCCATTCGCGTATGCACTGGCATTATGCACATTACGCCACAGCAGAACGCATCAATCCACCTGGTGGCTTGCACTCTCGTCTATTATCACCTCGTTCGTCCCCCGTCGCAAAAGCGTCTTTCTGGTAGAGTTACGTCTTTGAAATGAGCCTGAATCCAGTGAAACTGCATGGGTTCAATGCAGTTGCGCGCCGCTGTACATCCGTTAAAAATACAGGAGGGGGGTGAGACAGCACATATAACTGTTGACACCCACGACGGCCAACAATAGACATTGTCAAGAGCCTTATCACGGGACAGGGCGGCTTTAATAACAAGAAGACAGACCGACCCTGGCACCTGTTGCAAGCCTCTCACCTGGTAAGCAGGACGGCCACATCATGATGATTGGGATGGCTCTCGTTGGAGGGGTTCATTTTGATTTGCCAGCTACAGAAGCTCTTCAGAGAACTGTCAGCGTTCTCACTGATGTTAAAATGCAACTGAAAGCGGTCTCCGGCGCTGTGAGCTCAGCCAAGAGGCACAAGTGACAGCGAGTTATTACTGCTCTGGGGGTGAGGGGGGCACGGGGCGACGGGTCACGGCAGGGGCGCATCAGTCTAGCTGGTGGCTCAGGCTGTCGCCACTTCCTTTGAACTATGAACACAATTTCCCGAAATGGTGGCCGGTTCTGAGGATACGTGCTGAACATTTGACATTTCCAGAAGTGGCTGTCATGAAACCCGACAACTGTCGTCTTTCCTTTACATTTTCACAACATCGATCACCACATACCGGATTTACTTTCATGTCCACCACGCCCCGCTTACTATGCAAACTCACAAACATTTCGCTTGCTCAGCAAGCGGTATCCGAAACATACCGTCGTATTCTCGATGGATTCCAGGATCAGTATCCGGACCAGGATGACATTTATGGCGTTGCCGATACTTGCATCGTGGTATAATTGTGCTACCTGGAATAGAGAAGTCAATGGGTTGCGAGTATCTACTCGCCTTGCATATGCCTTCAAACCTCATACTTCACAACCAAAGTAGTGAGGGGCGCTCTTTGCACGCATTTGCCTCATCAAAATTTGTGAATGACGACCACTCGGAAAAGACGCCAGTTCATCACATGGTTCTTGAACAAGGCCATCGATGCGGTTGAACAGTGCCTGGGGGTGACGGCGGGCCGATGATGCCCGGTACCCCACCAGGCGCGTGCGCCGTTTTGGACTGGAGTACCTCCGGTTCGGAACACCTCCAGCTACAATCGCGCAATCTGGCCCACTTGGTGGTAAATATGTGCATGGCCACCAAAGCTGAAGGTGGCAGCGGCTTGATACGCGCATGAGGCGCTCACGCACGGTGTAGCCCCCCTGATTGATGTGGTTCATACCTCACACTTCGGCTGTGTGCTGCTCACGTTCCCGGCGCAACACGATAACATGGTGACGGAACAACCCAACCAGGCGCGCTTCATCCGCTCAGGGAGCTACCAAGGTCGTGATTAGGTACAACTTACTTGTACGTGTGTGCAAGGAAGTCGCACCACATATGAGAGTGGGCGTTCTGGGCTCTTGGACAATTTGGACCCGGTCGAGAAGCTCGTCAAGGATACGCTTGTTCGGGGCGAAGATCAGGTACTGCACCCCCGGACTTGGCTCCTTACCCATTCGGCGGGCTAGAGGCCGAGCGTTGGTCGAGTTCTTGGCTTTACAGGATAACGGAGTGGCAGCGCAACATACCCAAGCAGGCTCCATTCCGTACGCGGTGTTAATGTGCCCACACCGCATGCTCAAACAACGTGCGTCCCTATGGCACTGGCTTTGAACGGTTAGCAACAGCACATGACACGTGGTGCGCCAGTCCTGCAGTTGATTTGAATGACATCCATATGCATGCTGTCCCCCGTGCCGCTCGGCCTGAAGGTCAAGACCTGCACTTGCGCTCTCATGCCCTTGGAGGCTCTTGCCGCGAACGTAAGGGGTAGGAACAACCAAACACGGTACATTGTTTGTGTGAGTTTTTTAAAGGTAAATTTCGCCACGACAGTCTAATTGAAAGCATGTCTGGGATCACAGCCACGCTAAGCATGGATTTTTGTGTAAACCCCGACACCACCAACCGGCCATCTAGCTAAACGATACCTATTTGAGGCCAAAAATTGAACGTGTCGCAATACCCGGCATATTCTATCCTCCCACCGAACTCATCTGACCTTGAGCGGCCCCTGCCATCGACCGCAGACCATCTTAACCAGGAGCACATATTGAGCGACGAAGCGTATCGAATCCACACCTTCCGCCACGGATATGTTGAGTGAGATATGTTTTCACCGATAAAGCTACGGGTAGCGTACATAGAAGCAAACTGATATCATTCCAAGCACATACAAGCATAAAGGGCAGGCACAGTTTGGCGGGATCGCTACAACAGTTGCGTGCGATGTGCGCAAAATCGTTTTGAGTGCTGTGTATTGGCCATTGAACGGCTGATGTCCCACTCATGAAACATGGCACACTGAGTCCTTTGAGAATATGCGCCCCGTTGATGTACCTGCTTCGTATGCGTGCGGTCAACAGCAGTGTCGGCACTTGAACATGTAAGCTCGCCCCTCCCCTCCCCTCCCCCCCCCCCCCCCCCCACAAGCACTGCCGTGAAACATAACGGCAAGAGGAGGACCTAGAGCTCCGAAATTTGATACACCTTATAGAGTTTTCAGCTGATATTCGGGTTCGCACCATTTTCTGGCGCAGGTGAGGTGGGGTGACCCGTGGCGTGGTTGTTCACCATTGTGACCATCCGTCTATCTTCTATCTACCCTCCATCTACATCTACATTTACCTCCTATCGCCGTATTTCACATTCGGACATAACCTTTACTTCCACAGGGATATTTATTGGGTCAAATGGAAGGCTTCAATGCCACACATGCCTGATGCCTGATGCGTTGAAATGCAGTCAGTGGCGTTGGCGCCAGCTGCGCGCGCAGACTCCCCCACCCCCTCTCGCCCAGGGGCCCTGACTATGCCGATGACGAATGGACTAGGGTAGCGACAGCACTGACATATTTACAAGCCGAAAATTATGCAAGCAGCACTCACGCCCCTCATGCTCATCACATTTAGGCAAAATTTAAACTGAGCAAATCAGGCTATTGTTCCACCCTACTCGGAACAGCCACTTTGTCCCGCGAGATGACGGCATCGAGATAGTTCATCATGCGCAAAGTCGGTTGATTATTGGACACCCCCACTAAGTCATCCTGAGTGTAGAAACAGCCATTGCCATGTGTGGGGGCGAGGGTCGGAGGAGGGTCGGACCCTGACTGACCCCCATTCATGATGGTGAGCAGGTACGTCTCGATTGTCGTCGTCTGCGTAGAACTGCACCACGTCCGGGTCGGCAACGATCAGCGTCTCGGACGTTCCTCTCCGCGCTGACGGGAGCGCGGCCGGCGGCGTGACCTGGCGTCTGACCCTCCTGACCCGGCCCCACGACCTACCCCGGAGCGGGTCGTCGCGCGGCCGGCGCGTCCGTGCCCGGCCGGAAAGCGCGGGAAGCGGCGGCGGCCCTGTAGGTGCAGCACCGTCAAACCACGGGGTGGACGCTGTGAGCGGATGTTTCTCCGCCGGTGAATGAGCCGCGTGCAAGGCGATGGCCATTTTTGCAACAGAATAGAGCACGTCAGAGAGAGTTACAACCGAACATCAGGAACGACTTAGAAATGAGACGGAAATGTTCTTCCCGTGCCACCCTGAGTGTGGTAGTTTAATTTGCCTCCGTCATTGCCAGCCAGCCTCACTCATGAACAGCATGACCACCAACGATGACTCGCATCGATGAATCCTTACACCCTGTTCTTCCAGGACGTAGGTTCTTGCCATCATTTTACACATTTTCATACCTGGCTCCATACGTGTGCACATTAGCAAGTACATTACCGCTTTTAGACTGAAACTACGGCATGCTGGTGCCCCAGCGACCGGCAGTTTAGAACATCGACGCCCCGGCACACGCCATCATACAACAGTACAAACCACAGGAACGCAATCAAAACGACCAGCACCAGGGTCAAGATTCTCCGTCAGACCGTCTGTCGCGCTCACCGCCGCTGGGATGGGGCGGGCGGCCCGACGCACGGGCAACGCCGCTGTGATCCATGGTCGGGGGCCTGACACCAGGTTGCGGCGCCGGCCGGCCCCCGACGCGCCGGTGACCTTTGACCGGCTCCACGATGTTACTGGTGCTGGCCGGTGTGAATGTAGCCCAACTGCGGCAGCGGTGCACGGCAGCGTCAGTGGCTGGATGGGGGGCGGCGCCGCGGGTGGCAACCGCAGCAACCGCGGATGTGTCGGCGGCGCCCGACCAGTCGGCGGGAACGATCGCACAGAAGCGGCGCCGACAGATCGTTCCACGGTTAAGGAGCGGGTTTCTGTGGACGCCGAACACGCGACAGCCGACAAATAGTGCAAATGGAACGGAAAGTGGTTCTATGAGAACCCAGCCAGCAGAGGAAAGCCCGGTACGGTGGCTTTTAACCATCCCACTGCGCGGTAACTGCTGCCGTCATTTAACGCCGCTATCTCTCACACAGATTGGAGAGGGGAACCGAGATATAGCCGACAGCGTGCATTGAGCCCATGACCTCGCCGTTGTAAAGGAGGCCTTCATCACCGTGACAGTAACCTCACACTCCACCCCACCCCACCCCACCCACCCACTGACTAGTAACCTCCACCCCACCCCACCCCACCCCCACCCCACCGCACCCACCCACTGACAGTAACCTCCACCCCACCCCACCCCACCCCACCCCACCCCATTCCACCCCATCGCCGCCCCCATCTGGCGGTTAGCGCGTTTGAACAAACCCAGACGGTCTATCTCAATTTTGCCGCGGTTGTGCAGGTACTTCGCCGGGGAAAGCTGGGTATACGGCCGCATTGGAAGGCTTCTGCACGCCTAACACAGTGATTGGCAGTATTTCACAGTTGTTAAAAGACAGCAGTTCAATCTCACACACGCTTTTTGAAAACCGCCGAGGGTGTGTAAGAACGTAACGTATATTGCTACAGTGAATCATTGGGCTAATAATTATCAGTAGCGGGCCAGGATACAGCTAGTTAACCATGACTGCTCACAAAACAGCACAAGCCTTCTTTAAAAGGGCATGGAAAATGGATACACTAGAGCCTCCTGCCCCGACCTACAGCTGGTTCTGCCTCACAGACGTCTATCTTGGTATGGTGTACTTTCTTGTGCCAGATACCACAGTGTTGGTCAAAAGCAGGTCCGACTGTGACGGCGGCCAGTGACAGGCAGCACCGAACCAACCCAGGCCAGATCCTACCGTACAAAGCCAGTCCAGGCCACTTCCGACCAGCCCAAGCGTGGGATCCACGGCCCCAGCCGCGGCTGCAGGTCTTTCCGTAGCAGCCTCAGCCGCAGCCGCCAGCGTACCAGGCCGCGGCAGGTGGAGAGGGCGGCCCGGGAGTGCGGCCGACGCGCAGGCGGCCCTGCAGCAGGCAGTGGCGGCGTGGCCGGCGCACCGAGCCCGGCCGGCCGGCCGACGCTCGCCGCTCCACCACGAAGCCGGGCGCCAGCAGGCGCCGGTTGGGCCGCAGGTCCAGCACCACCTCCTCGCCGTGCGCCAGCTGCAGGCGGTAGTGGGCGGCCGCGTCACGGCGCAGGCCGCGCCGCCGCCGCCGGCCGCCGCCGCCAGCCCCCGCTGACGTCATAGGAGTGGGCGCACGTCGTGCGAGAGGTGCGCACCGTTGCGCCGCACGCGCTCCGGGTACGTGACGTGGTACGCGGCGAGGGACTCGACCATCCTGGCTGCAAAGGGAACGACGGGTGACTGCGGCTGGACACGCAGCTCGTCGGAGCGGCTCAAGGCTAATGACTACATGGTGGAGGTGCTGGGACCGCAGCGTCTTTGGGGGGGGGGGGGGGGGAGAGAGACACAGCAATGCTAACGCTTCCTCTTTCGGAACCAATGCTTTGCAACGCAGTGATATGGACCTGTCGGCACAGGCGTTTGTTCATAGCATGCACATTTTGTTCCCATTTCGGATGGTCTGTCACGGACCAGATTCGCTTGAAGGTTTGCAGGCTTATTTAAAGGCTTTCTCGCTGATGCATGCAGGCGCATATCTTGTGTGCCCTCGTGCTCACATGCGCATGAGAGAAAAAGAGAGCCAAACGCACGCACGCACGCACGCGCGCACGCGCACACATACGCATACACATAAAGTTACGTAATCCCACGCATGCCTTTACAATTATCAAGCGAAAGGGTAAGACCTACGTGCGAAGTTTCTTGCAACCTTTCCAGCCATTCTAGGCAAAATGCAGGAGCAAAGCAAACGGGTGGGTACCGAGTGGGCACCATTCACCAGGAGTGAGTAGCGGGTCGCAAAGGCGCAGCACCATGCGTAGCGAATGGATTTGGTCAGGAGAATCAACCCCGTGAAGGCCTCTGGTACCTATCTGAAAACTAATGGGCTTCATCTGAAGGAATCAAAACCCTTCAATGATTCGTATCGGCTTAGCTCTTATCGCGAGATAACCCAAATGGAGGCAAGAAGGCAGCCAATGGCAGGCGGGTGCGGTTCAGTCTCACGACAGGCAGTAGCAATTCGCTTCTAGCTTTCAGGAGGCATTTGCCTTTTTGATTGGATCGTGCAGGCAGGTACAGATTATTGATGGAATGGTAGAGCACGCAAGAGTACTACCATGAATCCATATCACGCAAAGCGAGTGCGAACCGAGTATGCAAACAGCCGCAAATATCGCGACACATACTCCTATAAATGCATTATTAGTACAGCATATCTATGCATGCGACCTTACATCCTTACTTAAATAAATATGTAATCACGCAAATGTTGATATATATATATATATATATATATATATATATATATATATATATTATATACATATATGCTTGCGATTATATATGACGCCATTCGTTTGTCTAGCTTCCTTCAGCCGAATGATGCTGAATCTCCCAATATCTTGGACATTTGCAGCCTTGTGTCAAATTTGCCTTCAAACAAACATGATTCACTGATGTATGACAAAGTAATATGAGAACCGGTGTGAAATCGAAATTGTCATCGTCCGAGATGCGGGTTTTTTTTCTTTGAGAAGAGGGGCTACGTCGTGTGCCAAATTTTCTCGACTAGCATGTCTTCACTTTTCGGTATCTGGAATCAGCGTCACCTCATCAAATATAGCGCAGGGGACGATGTCCACATTGTACCAATTTGGTTTTGTCTTTTTCGCTGTGGTTTTATGACTAGTTTTTTGTGTTTTTCAAGGTTTCAGTCCTCTCAACGGTTAAAAACACAAACAAACTAGTCATAGAACCACAGCGAAAAAGACAAAACCAAATCTGGTACAATGTGGACATCGTCCCCCTGCGATAGATTTGATGAGGTAACGCTGATTCCAGATACCCAAAAGTGAAGACATGCTAGTCGAGAAAATTGGGCACACGACCTAGCCCTCTTCTCAAAGAAAAAAACCTGCACCTCGGACGATGACAATTTCGGTTTTAGGACCGGTTCTCATATTACTTTGTCATACATCAATGAATCATGTTGTTTGAAGACAAATTTGACACAAGTTGCAAATGTCCAAGACATTGGGAGATTTTAGCACCATTCGGCTGAAGGAAGCTAGACAAATCTACCCCGAATGCGTCACCTGCTAGAACCTGGCCGGTTTCACCGCGATGCGACTCGCTGCCTTCTACCAAGCATTTTCATCTCACCAAAAACAATCCCCATACACGCGACTTCACCAGCGCCAAGACACTGCGCTGAACAAAGACAGCCAGACAGCGGCGACGTGCAGGGGCATGGGCCAACGGAGGCCTGCCTCACAGACGCATACATCAATATACATCAATCGATACCGCTCGGCGGCAACGGGGCAGCCCAGGCGCCGGCTATCACTGCCCATAGGAACGTCCCATAAGACAGAGCGTCAGAACGTCCCGTTTGAATGGAGCGTCAGGATGTCCTAGTGAAAAAGAGCGTCAGGAGATCCCATTGGATAAAGCGTCAGAGTGTTCCGTGGATGGACGTCAAACAGTCTCGTTGGATAGGAGCATAGGAGTGTCCCACTGGACAGAGCGTCAGAGCATCCGTTTGGATAGAGCGTCAGAATATTCCGCTACGTAGAAGCGTCAGAGCGTCCCGTAGATTGACGCCAACAGCCCCGTTGGACACAGCGCGAAAGAATCCGTTCGATAGAGCGGTCAGAGCGTTTCAGCTGATGCAGCGTCAGAGCGTCCCGTAGATTGACGCCAGACAGCCCCGTTGGACACAGCGCGAAAGAATCCCGTTCGATAGAGCGTCAGAGCGTTCAGCTGGATGCAGCGTCAGAGCGTTCAGCTTGGATGTAGCGTCAGAGCGTTCAGCTGGATGCAGCGTCAGAGCGTTCAGCTGGATGCAGCGTCAGAGCGTTCAGCTGGATGCAGCGTCAGAGCGTTCAGCTGGATGCAGCGCCAGAGCGTCCCGTTGGATGCAGTGTCAGGGCGTTTGTTGGATTGAGTGGCAGAGCGTTTTCGTTGGGAATAGCCATGCCATGCGATTCGCCTGGACCTGTTTAAATTACAATGCCCTAAAAGGAAGTCATGTTAGGTGATCACTTATGATCCGTGATGATTCAGACCGTCCAGGTGTGTCCACTTTGCATGTTTTTTCAATATGTCTTTCTACTAAGTTGTTTAATGAGTTTGCACATGCATGGCCAAACCCGCAGCCGGATGACTACGACCGGGTAAAGCCACAGGGCTACCAAGTGGCTGGGAACGTGCACGCGGAAACGAAATTTATCGTGCTGGCTAAAGTCTGCGTTCGTTATTAGACCACGGCACCAAAACTTCGCTGTCAGCCACCGTGATAATGCATGCATTCGAGCTGGGGCGTGCCTATTTTTATACACAAATTCGCGTGAGAGCGTCCCACGTAACCCACCCACCGGAAATACAGTTTGGCAAGCATCAGCGGAGTAGAACAACTGGTCGTTTATTTCATATCTGCGCATTATGTAGTAGGTACATTAAGCGAATCAAATGTAGCCTTATCCGCTCAATTATTCAGTTAGTTTAGTTTACATGAATATTGAATGAAATTATTTGTAGTGTTCCGCGTGGGTCGCGGAGCACAGCATGGAGCAACGACAACTTCGGAGCTAGCAACACAATATTCACATAAAACATATTTGATTGTCCGTGAACATACGCTTATAACCACTCGTAATCATTACCATAGCTTGGAAAGTCGAGTGTTCATAAATTAACTAATATTTTCTTTATAACGTCCAGTACCTCCTGGTATAATGAATGTGTCAGCAAAAGCAGAATGACTATTAACCCATAAAGCCGAAAAGCCAGGAACCTATGGCTTTTCTTGCCTAATGATGTACCATAAAGACTATGCGAGCATGGCATAGGATAAATGCCATCGCAAAGAAATATCGAGTCCGCCAGCAGAAGCTAGCATGAAAACAAAACCCGCTCCTCTTGATGTCCATGCAACTGATGTTACGTATCCAGCCTGGTTGAAACCAATCACTGGCTGGTCGAGCGTGACTGAAATTGCTTCATTCCGTGGCAAACCACTAACTAGCCAGCTCAGCAACTTGACACAGGAAATATGTAAGATTGGGCAGTGCCTCATACCCAACCGCTCACTGAAAAGATAAGCATGCAACGCAACATGCTATGCGCATGCAGTGTACACACATTGAAAACAAGCGTGTGAGCCGCGGCTGGAGAGTACTGGCGAACTGGTTTGCATCAGTTCTACAGCGCCTATCTATGGTGCGCAGCTGGTCATAACAGAATAATCCGAAGCTGTGAAGCCTGCTGAGAAATACAACACGCCTTTGTTCCAGATAAGCGTGCTCAGTTCTTGCGTCAGCTTGTTACCTTCCGGACAAAGATCTTTAAGGTACACAAATTACGGGACGAAGCAACACAAAAGTGCGCTAACACAAGTAATGATCGGGTGCATCAGTTTCCTTGCGGGCAAAGAAACCGCACTTGTTTGTGCCGATGCCACAGACATGTCTAATGTTAGTTATCTGCACACTTCGTGGCTCTGTTTGACATCCATAAAGCACACTTATGTATATATCACAGCAAAACATCTAGTTTTGCCACGACAACTTACAGCCATGCTACTGGCTAGGAAGTTGGCGACCAGTGAACATCGTATGACAGTCCAAACATGTGGAATCAAGGGTCGTTACGTTCCTGAAGCACCCCGTGCAGCTAATCCCCATCGCGTGCTGGTGTCCCCTGCTCAGTGATAGCCGCGTGCAGAGGGACGGTCGGGCTCCCCCCCCCCCCCCCCCACACTTCGGTTGAGCGCACTGCCGGGCGCCCGCCCCGGCCGCGCCGCTCACAGCTCCGTGAGAGAGCTCCATGGCCGTCAGGGACGACCGGGAAACGAGGCCGTCTTCGAGGGAGCTTACAGAATGGCTAGCCGACCGCGCAATGGCTCAACATGAAGTTCGTCCACGGCAGGACTGACATTCGAGGGAACTTACAGAGTGGTCAGCCGACCACGCAATGGTTCAACATGAAGTCCGCCACCAACAGGACTGACTTGGTAGTTATGAAACTGAAATAAACTTTCGAACACCACTGTGCGCACCATTGGCGAGCCAGGTTCAGTACGCACCCGAATTACATGGTTATGTAAGACACTGGCTCTAC